CAGCGCTGTGGAGCCTCACGCGTGCCCGGCCCACCACGACGGGTTGTCCCGGCAGGTCGACCCTGACGACGTTCTCACCAAGGAGGAGCAGATTTATCTCCTGGCGGAAGCCAAGGAGAGATGCCAGAAAGACATAAGAGCCCAGCTGGAGAAGATCAAAGGTACCGTCCCCTCCGCTGCCCGCGGGGCACCAGCCTCAGGGAATGGGGCAGCGTCATGGGCAGCGCTGTCCCTGAGGATGGGGACAGCAGTGACACGTCCCCGGAGCAGCCTGGGGGCTTTGCCCTGACTCCTGCAAGTTCTGGTTTATGGCCCTGGGGGCCGGGGTGACCTGGTCTGGGTTTGTACAGCACCGGCACCGTGGCCACCATGGGGTGCTCCTCAATTCACCCTCCATGTTGGCCACCAAACACTGCACCAGGGTGCCCTTAAACCAACCTCCTGCCTGCACGAGGAGGCAGGACGCGGTGGGACGTCCCAGGAGGTCGATGGAGCCTGTCGGGGGTCCCGGCTGAGCCGTGTCCTTGCTCCCTGGCCAGACACCAGCTGCCTTCCGGAGTGGGACGGGATCATCTGCTGGCCCCAGGGCTCTCCCGGCCAGGAGGTGGCCGTTCCCTGCCCCGACTACATCTACGATTTCAACCACGACGGTGAGCGAGGGCGCCCGGGCGCTCGGCCAGGGAACGGCCCCTCCTGAGCCCAAACACCTCCAAGGAGCAGCGTCCTCCGCCGCCAGCCAAGGCTGCTGGTGCAGAGCCCCTCGGCCCGGGCAATCCCCCTTCACTGACACCGAATTTCACAGCTGCAAGCTGAGCCTGGGCTCCCGTTCGTGCCCGTGCGCTGGCCCTGCACGGGGCTTGCAGCTCACACAGTGCTGCCAGCAGCTTTCCAGGAGCTGGGCACGGGTGGGGAGGTTGGTGTCCCCACGGTTGGTGCCTGTGGAGCCCCGGGCTCTGCAGGCCTGGCCTACAGCAGCGGGAAGGGGGGCACGGGTGGCTTTCCCGAGGGTCCCACTGCTGCCCCGACCCTCGTTGCTGCTCCCAGGTCACGCGTACCGGTACTGCAGCGTCTACGGCACCTGGGAGATGGCCCTCAGCATCAACAAGACCTGGGCCAACTACACCGAATGCGCCACGCTCTTCTCCCCGGAGAGCCGGAGCCGCGAGAAGGTGACCCGGCTCCTCCGAGGGGCTGGGAAAGGCGGCGGGGATGGAGGGCAAGGCCAGAGCCTGCCTGGGACCAGGGCAGAGCGCGGCCCCGGGCAGGGGAAGAGGGGCCCCCGTCATCCGACACCCTCCTCGTGTCCTCCTCTGCTCCCCAAAAAGCTGCTGGGCTGCGGAGGAGCCTGGAGCTCCCCTTGTCCTTTGCAGGAAGTGTTTGACCGCCTGCACCTCATGTACACCATCGGCTACTCCATCTCGCTGGCCTCCCTCCTCGTCGCCGTGAGCATCCTCTCCTACTTCAAGTAAGGAGCCGAAGCCCTGTCCTGGGGGGAGACCTGACCCCCGGAATGCCACATAGAGCACCCAGGGTGGGGAAGAGCCTCCTTGGGATGGGGAACCAGCCCCAAACCCCAGCACAAAGCTCACTTGGCTCCCAAAGCCCCCAGGCCCCACATTTCTTTGGTTCTTCTACAAAACCAACATGGGTCTCTATGGGGGTTGAAGCCTCCTTGCCCCTATCCCTGTGCCCATGGCAGGACCTGCTCATTGGAACCCTCTCTGGGTCCGGAGGCCACTCACACTCGTGACAAACGTGTTTGTCCCCAGGCGCCTGCACTGCACACGCAACTACATCCACGTGCACCTCTTCACCTCCTTCATGTGCCGCGCGGCGAGCATCTTCGTGAAGGACATGGTGCTCTACTCGGGGGCGCTGGCCAGCGAGCCCGGGAAGATGCGGGAGGACGATTTCAAAGCCGAGATGGCCCCTCCGCCAGGACCACGGAGCCACCTGGCAAGTGCCGCGTGGAGCCCTGGGAGCAGGATCAGAGGGGGATGTTTTCCCGTTGGCTTCCAGGAGCCGCCTGGATGCGGGCTGCTCTCCAAGCACATTTCTCCTGGGCCACAGGTCGGCTGCAAGGTGGTGGTGACTCTTTTCCTCTATTTTCTGGCCACCAACCACTACTGGATCCTGGTGGAAGGGCTCTACCTGCACAGCCTCATCTTCATGGCCTTCCTCTCTAATGACAATTACCTGTGGGTCCTCATCATCATCGGCTGGGGTAAGCACAGGCCCCAGCTGCTGGGGGACGTCACCTCGGGCCAGCGGCGCTGAGGACCCTGCGGAGGGTGGTGGGACACAAACCGGCTCCCGGGAACCAGGTCGCCTGTCAAACCCGGGGCTCTGGCCATGCTCCTTCCGCATCTCCTGCTCCTCCAGGTCTCCCTGCCGTGTTCGTGTCTGTCTGGGCCAGCGTCAGGGCCTCCCTGGCGGATACACAGTACGTAGGTCCTCCTTCTGCCGCAGTTTCCAAGCAGGGGGGAAAACTGGCTGCAAATATGAGCAAACGTGGACAATGGGGCTATGAAAACTGGATTTGTTTTTAAAAAGCTACCAAAAGGCAACAAATACACAAGCTTGTTTGCAAAATTGTCAGTAATAGAATGCAAAGATGTTTTTGTTCGGTACTTAGAAGGAAGTGGGATGAAGGTTTGCGCTATGAAATAACCAGGAAATGCTGCAAAGGTCATGTGAAATGGCATATTTTAACACTGAGTATTTTAAAATGAGGAGGGCCACACAACTACCGCATCCAGGATCCTCGGAAACGGGGACGGGAAGGGCGGGAGGACGGGGTGGGCCAGCAGGTGAGGGAGGCAGCAGCTGCTGGGCGTTTTCCTTAGCAGGGATTTTGAGTTTTTCCCAAACGTTTCTTACTGCTCTTCCCAGATGCTGGGACCTCAGTGCCGGGAACATGAAGTGGATTTATCAGGTCCCCATCCTGGCTGCCGTTGTAGTAAGAAGCCCTTGGCTGAATTTCCTTATCCTTGTGGATGGGGAAAGCCCGTGCCTGGGAAATCTATCCCAGGGGCTGCACGGACCGGCGATGGGACCATGGGGGCTCTGCTCTGCCGGCAGGTCAACTTCTTCCTCTTCCTCAACATTGTGCGGGTGCTGGCGTCCAAGCTCTGGGAGACGAACACGGGGAAGCTGGACCCGCGGCAGCAGTACCGGTGGGTCCCGCTCGTTGTGCGGAGACAGGGGCTTGGGAAGGGGCAGAGCTGGGGGCAGCTGCGGGGTCTGGTGGCCGGCACCTTCCTGGTGCCTCCTCCGAGCCGGGCCCTTGCTCTGCAACCAGGACTTGGCTCCTTCCAGGGGTGGTTTTGGTACCCGGGGAAGCTGCCCCTTTGCTGAGATGCTGCATGGTGCCTGCGAGGGGCAGGTCCTGGGCTGAGCAGGGCAGCCTTTCTGCTCGCAGGAAGCTGCTCAAGTCCACGCTGGTGCTGATGCCGCTTTTCGGGGTGCATTACGTGGTGTTCATGGCCATGCCCTACACTGAAGTCTCCGGCGTCCTGTGGCAAATTCAGATGCATTACGAGATGCTCTTCAACTCCTTCCAGGTGGGTCGGCGCGGGGCTGCTCGGTGCCGCGCTGGGCGCTCCCCAGCCAGGCAGGCACGTTTCAGCACCACGTGCTCCATGCTAAACTCTGCGGCTCTCCTCCGGCAGGGCTTCTTTGTGGCTTTTATCTACTGTTTTTGCAATGGGGAGGTAAGTTAGGAGGCTCCGTCTTGCAATGTGCCTCAGCCTTGCTCCGCTTCATAAAACCCTGGCAAGATTTGGGAGCAATAGGAGCAAAATCCCTTGGGACCCGGGCTTGGGCTGCCTCGGGACTCCGGCTGCCGTCTGCTCTCTTGCTCAGGTGCAGGCGGAGATTAAAAAAGCCCATTTCCGCCGGAGCCTG